GGGGGGGGGGGGTTGTTCTTATTTTTCCAAAACAAAAAAAGGTGCCCTTTTCTCTTGGATCTTTTTTTTTTTCGCCCTCTCCTCCGTTCGGCTCTGAAACCAGAAAACCAAATTATGGACTGTGTCGAAAAAGTGGACGAGTAGGGGATCGAACCCTAGGCCTTCCGTATGCGAAACGGACGCTCTACCACTGAGCTACACGCCCCACGTTTGACCATTAGTTGGAGGCATGCTATTATAATAATAAAGAGAATTTACTCGTTTTGAGATTATGGCCTTGGGAAGAAGGAAGAAAAAGCAACGCTGACGGGGGTCGAACCCGCAACCTTCGGATCCGGAATCCGACGCGCTTCCATTGCGCCACAACGTCTTGATCCCGGACGGTAATATCGCTGGTATATTTTTATTATGAATGGTTTTGTTTCTTTTGGATATTTCTATTACATTAGATGAGTTAACANCCGTAGCCGCGATAGCTCAGTTGGGAGAGCGTCAGACTGAAGATCTGAAGGTCCCTGGTTCGATCCCGGGTCGCGGCATTCCTTTTTCTTCCGTTCCAGAAAGAAAAAAGAGAATTTCCTATTTCTGTTGCAATCTGCTTCGTTGCGCGTGATGTCTGAAAAAAAAAATGTTTTGTGCAATGTTATACTCCTCCTCTCCATTGTTCTCTTTAATTGTACTCGCATGTAGAAATAAAGAAAATGACTGACAAAACAACTAGTACTTTTAGAATGGACGATGACGTTCTCCGTTTCTTTAGCCGCTCTACACACTGCAAACCGGATGTCATGAAGCAAATTCTTAATGATATTGGCACAGTTTGTCTTGCGATGAAACTATCGTGTCGTGTTTCAACATGGGGCGCGACACAGCAAGTTAAGCTCTGCATATACGGTGGCCTTCCCGTTGTCATGAGTATTGATTCCAATGACTTTTCGAATGACAGTAGCAAGGCGGTTCAAACATGTCGTTACACCTTGCCCATTCAAATTTGGTTGACCCATCAATATCCTATAGATCCACCTTTGATTTTCCTTTTTGGTACAGAACCTGGGTGCAAAATTGCAAGCAATCACAAGTACGTGGACGCCACTGGGCGCTGCCATACACCTGAGCTAGCAGCGTGGCAACCAGCATCTTCGTCTCTCTCCACTACTCTTGAAAAGCTGGTGCGGGAACTCGAGGAGGAAGGTGTGTTCCCGCTCTGTATTGATCCAGAGGTTGTGGAATGCAGTGCCATGGCGAATTCAGCAAGTCACTCACGAATTTCTCGTAAAAATGAGGACGATGACAATGTAGCTGTTAGCGAGAATGACCAATGCGTGATTTGTTTTAATGCCAAGGACACTGTGCTGGTTCCGTGTGGTCATTACTCCTTGTGCGGCGCATGTGCAACGAACGTGTCTCACTGCCCTTTGTGTCGCGAGACTGTAAAGTTCCGGCAGCACATTTTTCATTAAAGATAATAAGACAAGAAAGTGGGTCTATCTAGATATCAAAGGAAACTTGGAAAGTATACTTTCTTTCTACTTGAGAGTAAGTCTGAGGTTTTTAATAATATTGGAATGGATATTGTCATATATATATATATATATATATATTTCAGATGCTCGATGTGTTCTTGTCTCTTTCTTGTCTCAGCTTTTCCACACTCTTCCGCAACAAAAGGATGGGGAGTGGGATGGGGACACAAGCACACATCCAAACAGTTATGCGCACACCGTATGCCTTAACATATGTATCACAGCCCCAAATGCGCATATCACCTTCAATGGGCTGCGCTGCCTCTTTAGGAAAGGGTGTAACGCTGGGCCCCCCGGAACCCCCACCGGAGCACCCTAATAAAGGACCTGGCGCGGTGAGGCGGCAGGCTCTGGAAGCAGGCATCTCAGAAAAAAGGGGAAACCAACGCACAAGAGAAACGACATTAGAAATAGTCGATGGCGGGGTGATGTGCTTCGCGGGCTGCGTTCCTTATGTGCAATGGGGGGGGGGG